AATGTTTTGAAGCTCAAATGATCAGTATGTTGCTTCCTTATTTGTACTTAATTTATATTATATTTTAATTGTAAACATATCTACTCTGCTTATTTTAATGGTGACTGCCTGATTACGTAATCAGGATTCAACTCTAGTGCAAACAAAATCCTAATAGTTTCGGCCCCCAAACACCAGACGACATTTAGACGTTTTTAGGCTAAATCTGGACTGTCTTCATTTAGTGCAGAAATCAAAAAATTAGGCTGTTTTTGGTCAGTCTAATTTTATCCCACTTTAGTCCAATAATTTTCAGACATTGCAAAACCATTTTTTTATGTCTGCATATTGCGGCTTTTCAACCTCAACCAGATACAGACGTCTGTTATTCAAAACTGTTTCTTTGGACTGTTGTGGGGGTTTAGTATTTGGTTTTAAAGTCGTAGGGAAGCGGCTGTTCCAACCGTTGCATTTCCGAATTCTCCTGAGTGGTGTCCGACTTTACACGAGTGAATAAAATGAATGTAATTGGTCGATTATCAAGAGGGCGGGATTGTTGTGGTGGAAGGTTTGCAAGCAAGTTTGGTCATAGCCGGTTTGTCGGAAGCATCTTGCTATGACCCAAAAAATGTGATTGACAGATGACCGTTGACATATAATTGGCCGAATTTCGGTGTTCAGGCTGACGTAGAACTAACTGGCCTGCAGAAGATGACGGGAAAAAAACCAACACAGATTTTAAGAAAAGATTTTATTTTAAATAAAAATTTTCTAAATTTTGGGACAATAAATAAGTACATTTATATACATGTTTAAGCCGGAATTATTTGACATTTAAATATGATTTCCCTATGACTTTAAACACGGTGGGTAACCATAGCAACATCTACCACCAGGCTTAGCCTCTTTGGTGTGATCTTGATCTGACTGTTTTTAAATGTTTAATGTTTGTCGGAGGAAACCATCATAGTTACAACCAATCAGTCGGAAAAAATCGGGACGATAAAGTGAGGCCAACCGCAGTGACGACCATGCATATATGCAGTATTATCTTTGCAAAATCAAACTTGAGCTTCCTGTTTAACATCTTCGACGTGCAACAGCATCTGGCGCTCTTTTAACACTTTTGCATCCTGTTTTGTGACACATGAGTAAGTTTTTCTCTAAAATAAGCAACAGCAGCAGCACCACCACAAACCACTCACACATAAATCACTCTGAAAGTAATTATTATTAGGTGGAAACATTGCAAGTGGGGTTTACAGATGTGACAAATACATACGTTAAAACAGAGAGCTGGAACATTATGTTTGCACGAGTGTCAGAAAGAGTTATATATTTCTAAATGTGTTCGAGAGGAGGGTGTTGGAGGAAAGCTGGCTTGCAGCTGTGCGAGTTCGCCGGCACAGCTGCCTGAAATAAGCAGACATATCCTCGTTCACGTGGAGATAAATCAGGGGGTTGAGGGCACTGTTCAGGCAAACGAGACCACGGCATATCCGCTGAGCTACGTAGACGCTGTTAAACCATTTGTAGCATACATTATGTTTGGAAAGAACTCTTGACCAGAGGTTAAAGTTCTTGAGCACGTGATAGGGGATGTAGCAGATGGAGAAGAGTAGAATCAAGATGATTAACAGAGTTAGGCTTCTTTGTTTCAGGACTTTGTCGATGTTATCCTTGCAGCAGAGGAGAGCGATCACATGTCCATAACAGGCCACGGTGATGAGGGTCGGTATGCAGAACCCGATGACGGTCCAGCTGATGCTGTACTGCAGGTACTCTTCCACGTATTCAGTAGTGGTCGTATCGAAGCATTGAAAAGTCCCGTTTACGTCTTTTTTGGGGAAAAACATATCCGGAAGGCTTTGAACGCTCACAAAAACCCAAACAATGATAGAGATGATAACCGAGTGAGACACAGTCAATCTCCCCATCACTCTCATCGGATGGACGATGGCCAGGTATCTGTAGACGCTGATGCATGTGAGGAAGCCGATGCTACAGTATAAATTCAGGTTGAAGCAGAATCTTGTTACCTTGCAGAAGACTTCCCCGAATATCCACTTACTCCCTCTGAGGTAGTGCACGATCAGAAAGGGGAGAGTGAGCAGATACAAGATATCTGCAATCCCGAGGTTGAGGACGAAAACATTGACATCCCCCAGTTTCTGCCAGTTGCGCCGCAAAGAGTTGAGTCCCCATCCGTTTGCAAACAGCCCGACGATAAACACTGAGATGAAGACAGGAGGGAGAAAAGTCTGTGGAAAGCTCTTGCTTATCTTCTCACAGTCTGTGGCATTCATTGTTTACAGTCAGCGCCTGGCCGTGTTCCACGTGAAGTGACTGTGCTGCTTCAGCTCTCAATCGCTCAGAAATACTCTTTTCAAAGCACACCTACTTCCTGTTTTAAACACTCGTTCTAATCTAAGCCTGGAAATCATGACTGTCGTTTGATGTGATACTTAAATTAAGACCTCACTTTAGTGAGCCCAGTTTAATTCATATTATGTTTACTGTAAATTTCTAATTTACTAAAATGATTTCTTCATATATGCAATTCAAGAATTCAGTTGTTTTAAATTTTTATTTGATACAACATAAGGACTGTTCCCTGTCTGGAATGTTCTTCTTAACCTGTGGAATAACCTGTTTCATTATATTTGACACCCAATGCAATAGTTATAGATAAATAAATACCCATGAAAATA